CATGTCATTCATGATGTGCTCCAGTTTCACAAAGTGTCTGCAAGGTGGGTGCCACAGCAGCTGACTCCAGAATTGAACCAACGACGTGTTGACGCCTATGAAGAACTTCTGCGGCGCCTTGAAGCAGAAGGTGATGGCTTCCTTTCGAGAATCGTTACTGGCGATGAAACTTGGGTGCACTACCACCAACCGGAAACAAAGAGAACGAGCAAGGAATGGCATCATTCCTCATCACCAAAACCCAAGAAGTTCCGGACGCAGCCATCTGCAAGGAAGATTATGCTGACTCTCTTTTGGGACGAACGAGGCGTACTCTCGGAGCACTACACGCCTCGGGGGAACACTATCACCAGTGCCTCATATTCAGATCTCTTGAAGAATCATCTTCGACCTGCAGTCAGATCAAAGCGATGTGGACTTTTGACTAGAGGTGTCCTTGCGCAGACAACCACAAGAATTTTTTTCTAGAGGAATCCATACACTTCGTAAACGCTGGAGGGCCTGTACTGAACGAAATGGAGACTGTAGAAAAATGATATAGTTGTGTTAAATTTAAAAAAAAAATTACGGTTTTCATTTGACTCACCCTCGTATATGGCAAAACACTCAGGGTGGAGTCCTGGCTTCCTTGGACACATGTTACAATAAAATGACATTTCTCTCCTGCCTCCTTTCACAATTATAAGGTTCACAAAGTATTACGAGGAAAACGTGGAGAGCTCTAATGCACAGATGAAGGCTTGAATGATATGCTGACACTGTTTGCCAGCCGCAGCTTGACTCCAGATCACGTAAAAAACTCGTAAAACACAGACTCAGTCAGACATAGGACTGAAAAGGGTTAAGATTTTATATCAAGGTTGGAGTCAGAGTCGGTACATTTTTACCAACTCTGACTCCACCCAAAATTGCTTCTGACTCCACAGCCCTGACACAGAGGATTACTTAATGATACATTTGCAGACCACAAGCAAGTTTAGCTGGCACAAAAGATTATGGAAAAGTCATTACAGCTAAAATTGCTCATCATGATAAAGTAAATGGGGAAACAGTTACTATTTTATGCAGCATCTTCCCAATTATGTAACATAAACAAATTGATAATGCCAACAATTTTGCTCACTATAATGAAGTTTTCATAAAAGGTTGTACTCATTCTATCATGGTTACACTGTATACATTATGGAATAGGCCAAGAATGATTTTATTGGCATTCTTATTAATCCTGTTTATTTCTTCCAGTATTTTCCAATTAAATGTTATTCTTGAAGGCAATATATTTTGACATTATGGAAAAATATAAATGATTTTATGACATTACAGAAAAATGGCAATAATGTTAACTCACATCAACTTCCTGAGAAATATCCTCAGTTTGAACTTCGGTTAAAACAGAAGTAGTAAACATATCATCGTTTAATATATTTTCTTCCTTGGTAAATATAACCTAAAACAAAATTCCAAATATTACATCATATTACACCCTGTTGTCTCTTGAGAAAAATGTGTTACTGTATTACATTACAATCTATATAAAACATACAAATGTTTGTCAGACATCCTATTAAGAGCAGAAACTGTGACCAGTAATTCTACTTAAATCTGCTAGCCACTAAACAAATTCCACCTGCCTGAACATATATGCACTGAGGCCTAAAATGTATTCATTACACATCTCTTTTAGCTCAATGATGGTAAGTAGGAGATCCTGGTCAGCATCAATGAAACATTAATTAAATTCCCAGTAATTATTAAACCGAAGATATGTATTGATATAAGTCTTATCAATCAAGTACAACAATCAAAGAAAGTGGCAATATCAAAAACACACTTTAATATACATAAATTCCACTGTGTTTGAAACTTATCTATAGCAATTTCAATGCATTTTAAATTATTTACTTCTGCAGTGAGTGCTAAAATGTATTGTTAAATGTAGAAAATAGACCTCATGTCATCAACTGAAAAAATCACTTTCTAACCTCATCAAATTTTATCTCTTGCTGCTTCATAAAAAAATCTCGTAAGCTGCAGTCAGAAGCTTCAACCATCAATTTGAATTCACAAAATAAATTCACTCGACTGATACAGTCTTCACATACATGGTTGGGCAACCCATCCCCAGCATACATCTGCAACATACACAAACATTCTATGACTTGCCTGTTGAAAAATATTAAGTATGCTATAAAGTGCAGAAGGCCTCACCAAATAACTTGAAATTATTACATTACATAATTGCAGATAATGCATTCACAAACTACATACAGCTAAACTGACTGATATGATGAGTTTCAATTACAGTATGCCAGCCTACAACTAAAAAAACAATCAATTCCCACTCTACATTAATCAGTTTATTAAAGTCATGCCAAAGCAAACAGTTTTCATATTGAAGTTTATAAAAGTCAGGTTTGTATTCCATAACTGTATGAAGGTAAACAGAAAATTAAATTTTTATAACAACATAAATAAAGCAAAGAAAGTTCTGTTCAAAAGTAGTGGTCTATTTAGAAATTATATACTCAAATATAAAATTCAAGGTTTAGTGATATTAGTCAAATTTGACCAATATGATGAAACTGTGAACACAAAATCAAGATATGTAATTTAACTAACTGTGACATTATCACTTGCTGATCTTGCAGCTGGAAAGGAAACAACAAACTTTATTAAAAAGAAGACACAAATACTACACAGCTCCCTACTGCATATCATTTCCAATTAAAAGTTGACAAATGCCAAATATGAAACCAAGTACAAGCAGAATACCAATTTGGAAAACTAATTTAAGAAAAACAAATGGAAACACTAACAATACAGAACTCCCTGCACAAAACACTGGTAAGATATAAAAATAGGCAAGGAGCAGAACTGTAAAACAAACACGATATTGATATTATAAATGCAGAAATACTTTACTTTACATTCTTTACTGATACTTTGTATGTTGTATCCTTTTATTGACTGCAAAACCTCAGTTGGTAGTATGTTTGCCTACAGTGTGTGTGACCTGGGTTTGATACCCAGTTAGTATTTTTATCACCATGTCTATAATGGCTATTGAGGCTATTAAATTTAATTGATCTTTTATTTTGAGCCATGTAGCTTCTATTGAGAAGCTTTGACGTTATAGAGGTGCTTGATCCCTCCATGATTAGGGAAGGTAATGGAGGCAGCAAACACCTTTGAAACATTGGCTAACTTCTACCAGACTATATGGTGCAAAATCCCAGAAGACATGTCATCATATTCACGGCTGTGAGAATGTGAAATCTAGCCATGATCCACCTTAATGACTATGGTGCTGTTGGTAGCTTCATTGACAAATATTTGATCATTCTACTCAAGTAACTTGTCACTCCAAAAAGAAAACAATTAATTCATGTTATGGTTAAAACCGACCTAACCTGTATGCACGGAGACAGATTCTTGATTTTGGCGAGCAGGTCATCATTGCCATCAAAAATTGGCAGCAGAGCGTTTAGTTCTCTAATACATAGACGGCATATATTATTAACGTCAGGATTCAAACCTATTATTTCACTAGTATTCATTGTTTATATATTACGTATACAATTTAAAATTACGGTCAAAACTCAGCCAAACCCAATTAATAAAATCGAACAACCACCACTGTCTCATCCATGCTACCAACTGTCCACATCCCCTACACGGAGCACAACCACAGAGTTTATAACCAAGTCTGAGTTGTGTGTTGTTGGCACAGGTAAAGAATAAGTTATTTTTTGCAGCTGGATAGCATACATTTAGACTGGTTGTTAAAGATGACGGCACATTATGATTGATTTCGACAGTTTTAAATGGCTTTGGCATCGTTTGGACAAGTCTTGGCAGGTTTACAATGATTTCGATCCATTTGGAGAGGTTTTGACATGTTTTAACATTTTATGACAAATTTCTGCCAACGTTATCGTTCTTGTGGAATGCTTCAATGTTACGGTTTTTATTTTCTTTTATTTTTATATCCCTTTGTGTTTTTTAAATTTCACCCCTTTATATTGGACACTTTTAATTGGAACCGGTGAATATCCTATAATTTTACATGTCCACAATACCCTATATCTTGGACACACCTTTATCCTGGAACTTGAACACACCTTTTGTTGTAAGTTTGACAGGTTCATGCACTTAACTTCGATGCTTTTCAGTGAAACTTTTTCAGTTACATATTTTGTTATTTTGAATATCTGACTGATGAATGCCTCCTCTCTGGAGGATTATCTTATGGCCATTGAACCCATCATTTGAATGCATTGCAAGTGTTTAACTATTCTTTTCCTGGAACCCTTAACTGGACTACAGTATTTCAGAAGACGCAGTTTTAACTCCATCAGTAGTGTGCTTGCATTTGAGTTCAGACTGTTCACACATGGTAGGGTCAGGTTGAAATTTAAAAATCAAGTAGCCCTGTCAGGATTTATTCCTATTTATTAAATAATGGAATGCAATTACTTGTTAACCATTGTCTAATGCAAGCATATAATAGTCATAACTGTGCTGCATTACAATGCATGAAGATAGTATTCATGCTTAAGCAAAATTTAAAATGGTGATTGTTTTAATATCAACTACAGAAGCAAACCTGCTAAGAGGAAATGTTCACCATAGCCTGGTAATAGATGTGAGATACAGGTAATATTAAATGTAATAAGCCAGATGTCATGGATGATGTTTCAGTCAAGTTAAATCACTATAAGAATAGGGGTGATGGCACTAAATATTCTCTACCTTTGCTTAAACCATAGGGTGGCCGTTTTCCCCTTAAACATATATGTTTTGTGCAGGGAACAATATGATCATGATAAAGAAAATTGGCACATTGCATTCATAAATACAAAGTTCTTGTGAATAAATATACTGTATATGAAACTGTGATCAGACCAGGGAAGATTAGTCTGGCTGAAGACAGTAAGTTGTTAAAATCACAACAGAGTTTTGCACACATTCTTTAATTTAAATTCATGTTTCATTGCAAAGTCATATAATTCAGAACAGTATAATCATAATAATTTAAATATAATTCCTAAATTAGACATTCTAGTGTTGGAGTATTCAGTGATATCTGAGCCTTAACCTACACTTGTAACAGCCTTTCTGCCCATTCTGTCACATACAGGTGTGGCATCTCAATACTGTGTGAAAAAGAAAACAAAAGGTAACCGTGTCAGTGGGAAAAGTTATTCTAAAAAAATGTACTACTAGTTTTATAGACAATATACATTTTAATTTCAAGTTGCCACATATACAGAGTTCATTTGAACTTAAAAATATGAAAAGATGTTATGGATTACTATTTACAAAGTAAGTAATCTAATGGTATGGCACTTGGAGTACATCCACTTGTCTTCCATCCCAATATAAAATCCATTTGTATTACTAGATACAGTGAGGTTACTGTTTGTACCACATACAGTTAAATCACAATGAACTGTTCTGTTCATTTGCAATTTGCATACATACACAAATATACAAATGAAAGAGCAAACCTTTCTTGTCAGTTTCTGTAATTGTTACAAAATTCCTTAAGGATTGAGTTCTACATGTGCAATACACAATACTTTCAATGTAGGTTCTATCACAGGTACATGCTGACCCTACCCTGCAGAAACAAGTTTTTATTGGCACATTGCTTCAACTTCAAGAATGAAAACATTTGTACGAGTACATGTACTACAGTACATATGATACTTAACCTGAGACAAGCCAAGTACATGCTCTCACAATTTTTACTTAATACGAGGCATTATACATACATTCAGGTATACAAATTTACAGATCCCACCAAAATTTCACTCATTGTGTTCTTTCTGGTCCACCTATAACAACAACATACTACGATCACAGATATGTAATTTTTTCTGATATTTTAGTGATGTTTTGTGTATGTGGTTATTTTCTTCCATTTACTTAATTTTATAGTAAAAATTAATTTATGAAATACTTGTACAAAAGGAAATTTTTTTTATTAACCCATAGAAAGAATACTCGACTGGGGTTTAGAAACTGTCTGTGAAATACAGTTAAGTTCATAATGTAGCAGCTAATAAAATGTAAGTCAAAGACCAATAAAATGTTATGTATATTTAATTGAATGCTTTCTCATCAATTGTAAAAACAAGAAAAGTTTCTGCATGAAAGTATTATTTAAATAGTTATTTTTCATATAAGTCACAGAACCAGTTTAACCTGAACTGCAATATAAAAATAGATTATTATTAATGTGCTGCCATGCAATCTTCAATACTGAACATTAACTAGATATGATTGTTAGAACATACAAAAGAAATTGCACTCTTTATTTAGGGTTATATCTGCATTTTTCACATCTTCAGTTAGACTTAACTATTCCAATCATTTGGAGAGTAGTTTTAAAAACACAAAATGCTTTAGTCTGTGTAACCTAAGGTAGATATTTACTCTGTATTACAACAAATAACATGCACTTCAGCATGTACTGCCAGTCTTTCTGCTGGAAACTTTATTGCCACAAAAGCATGGACATAACAAAATATTGTGGCCTCTGATGGACTTGGGTTTAGTATTGTTTCCATACTCTTGAGCATAAGACACACACTAATGGTCAAAATTCTATTAACCAACATCTACCATAAAATTTAGTGTTTTTTCATGGGAAAAAGTTTGCACAATTCCATTATTAATTTCATTATGCTAGGTTAAAATGCTGCAGAAGGCCATTAGTTCCCTTGGCAGAAATTTTAGTTCTTCAGTGACTCAGTCAAAAATACAAATCATACCACTGACATAATTTCAGGCTTTACTCGTAATTCTTAAATAAGAACTAGGGAAATGGTACACTTTCCATCATTGATCTGTATCTCTGTATACAATTAATAAAATTATTCTTTAGAATGTAACAAGAATTTGATCTTAACTGCAAGTTCATATTTCAAAAGGGAAAAGGCAAATATGAAGAATTAACAAAGTAAATAAAAAATATTGTGATTGTTTCTCTTCATATTGTAGAGATTTGCTGCAAAAAGCAAGTTAAAAATATGAAAAAGGCTTATTTAAAAAGAGAGTAGAGTGCATGAAATTGTTATTTGACTTACGCAGGAGAACAGTATCTATTGATGCATGGATCATCTTGCAACAGTATGTTTTACATTTGTGAAATGCAATTCTAAGTTTAAAAAAAATCCTGAGTATAATTAATATGTATAAAATATTCCTGTGTACTCCATGAACCAATTCTAGTTTATAACTCATTTCTTATATCAAAATAAACACTTCATAAACTTACATTTCATAGTCCTCTTATTATGAAGAATACTTCTGTTCATTGGATCATCTGTAAGTATCTGTTTTCCTCCAGTAATGATGTTAAAGATGATGTCATATCATTTATCACCATGTTTGATGTGGACCCTTGTAAGGGATCTTTATGAGGGGAGGCTTCTGGTCCTGTGCCCAGAGGATGTGTGCTGCTAGACACCATATCACTGCCTGCCCAGGACTGACACTGTCGCACATATTCAAGCGTTCTCTGGTATGTGTCTTGCCTCATCCCTCGCACATTTCCTGTAAGGACTGGCATACTGCCAGAATTCACATTTACCTGAATCCCACTGCCATTATTTGGGGATGACTGGCTGATGTCCCGGCACTGAATTTCTGTCACATTGTTATTCCCAAGGGAATGATATGACATGTTATGAATACTGTGCCCACTATTGGAAGCAGGTCTACTATGTTGTTGATTAGAGGATGAGCCTGGAATGGAAATAAGTCCAGGATTGGTGTTATTGCATGGAGGAGGTTGTGACCGGACAGGACATGGAGGACTTGTGAACTGTTGTGATTGTTGTTGGTATGGTGGTGGAGGCATCTGTTGACTATAGTTGTTCCAACTTGCATGAAGCTGCTGCTGGTAATGTTGATGGTGATGATGTGTGCAGTTTGCACATGGTCCCACCTGTTGCAGTTGCTGCTGGTAGCAACCATTGTACTGAACTGGTTGCTGATTCATATTATCATGGTGCTGCATAGGGGCAGCACCAGGGTAAACTGCACTGCCACGGGACATCTGAGCTGCTTGCATCATCTGCAGATTTTGTTGCCAGCAGTTGCTGGCTTGTTGGGGTGCAGGAGCTCCTGCAGCAGGGCTTGTGAGGGGCTGCTGACTTAGCTGTTGTGGAGTCTGTCCTCCAGCACCATAGCAATTTGCTGGACTTGTTGGTACAGAAGGACCAAGGTACCCAATGCTGGCTTGTGCTGGACTTGGCATTGAATGGCACTGTGTTGAATTATTTCCCAGTGGAATTGTGGGACTTATAAATCCAGGCATGTTTGTCTGGGCAACACTTGGTATAGAACCACTATGTCCTGGGCTGTTCATAACTTGTTGGCATGGGCCTGAACTATTGACTATAGGCACAGAAGATCCATTATAACCCACACCTGGTACTGGCTGACATGACCCAGTGCCATTCATCATAGACTGACACTGATTGTTCATCACAGGCAATGTTACATTACTGTATCCACTGTTTTGTGGTGGGTTGTTTAAGGGTGCAGATTGACCCATCATGGCACTGGGAGGTCCCTGTACTGGGCTGTTGGCTATTGGCATTGCATGGCAATACATAGTATTTCCAGAAGCTGGACTTGCTGGAATGGACTGGCCTGTGAGGCCATTAGAAGTGACTGGGAGAGGATAGTTTGGTACAGATTGATTGTAAGATGCAAGAGGACTTGCTGGATTGTTAGGTGGCATTTGTCGCCCTGGGTAGCTGCCAGGGAAGTTTCCTTGCTGGTAGTTATTGCAGGCTGGTGGTTGGAACACATGGGCAGTGTTGGCTGCATTGGCTAAAGGTTTGCTTAAACTCTCGTCCTTTCCATTATCTACCACCTGTGAAAAACGAAAGCACATTATGTATCTACTCTCTAACAAAAAAGTAATAATCATACCTGTACTGTCTTTGTGGAACTTCCATGTACATTTTATCATATACAAAATATATTCTAATCATGTGATTTATTATGATTCATCTTCAGCATTTTAGTTAATCAGTATGTTAATTCCTTCAGTGTGTCTCATTTTCAGGCAAGTCAATTAAAATGCAGTCATTTTAAAACTGGAAATTCTGATGGTAGAAAATTGTTAGGACTATATTAATGGTCTACACACACACAGTTGATGTTTAAACATAAACAAAAGACTGGAGTTAATAAAAAATAAAGAATGAAAATGTCAGAATTAATAAAAAAAATATAAAATATATTATAAATGAATTAACCTAAAAGTGACAGTTTACTTAATGGAGTGTATAAATGAGGTCAGAGTTTTACTGTGTAACAGTTAAGTTATAGAATGACTACAAGGGTACTCACTTGACTAAGGAAGTGTAACATTTCATCTGGAATCACCAAGTTCTTCTCTACCATCTCTCCCTCAGCCACTTCATCCAGAACCACTTCCTGATTAGGATGATGCTCCTGACCGCGTGCAATTGGAGGCAACACAACACTGTGAGGTCGAGGTGGAGGCGGTGTAGATCTTTCTGACCCTCCTCGACATGGTTCTGACATTCGTCGGCAATCCACTGCACTTGTGGAACTGTTGCTACCAGCTGATGGTTGAAACCAACTTCCAGTACCTGGATTATGATGATTATGATAATGTTGACGCTGTTGCTGCTGATGCTGCTGTAATTGTTGCTGCCGCCGCTGTTGTTGCAGTGACATGTGTTGTGTCTGTACAGTAATTTCCCATAAAATTAGTGTTTAATATAGGTTACTCACAAACAAAATTGTCCTACATAAAATAATACTTGTTTTGCAAAAGGTACTAAATATTTATTCAGTAAATGGAAGACTGGTGATTACAGAGAACAGTTAAACCACATGAACAAAATGAACAACGCCGGGCTCCTAAAAATTGAATTTCTTTACAAACCAAAGAATATAAAAATTTGCAAAAAAACATTCAAAATACAGCTATAAGGTTATAATAAGTTTGACTGTAATATTTGTAGGGCAGTAAAAGATGAAATGGGGAGGAATAAGCATCTCACCTGCAGAACAAGGTTAGAGGTACAATAAAGAGGGTCCTGATGTCCACCAAGAACCCGTGTGTGTAAGCGTTGCAGATGGCTGCTCATGCCAGAAGGCAATAAATGGGATACACTGTGACCCACACTGGTTACTCCTGTGTTGCTGAGCTGACTTGACCGTCTTGAGCTGCCAGGAGAGATTGGGTCGCAGGATGAGCCTACGTGCCCACTTCCAGGTCTTGCACAAGACAATGCTGATGCCTGCAATTTCATTATGAGAAAAATTTGTACACCTTTCTTACAGTTTTTGTTACTGTATCACTGTGTTAATTTTTGTTAATTTAAATACCTTCCTATCAAAGTATTTTTCATAATTTTATTGTATAATTTAGCAGCATATAGTTTAACTGAAGGCCGCAATGGATCACTAAAATATTATACAAGGCGGTACAAGTACAAGTCTACATGGCATCACAATCCACAAGAACACAATTAACAATTTTTATGTTTGTCATATTTCTTGCCTGATACCTCTTCAAAGTGGTAGACATGCTTTATTAACATTTTATTCCATATTTTAATTATGAATATAGTACCTGAGAAGCTTGGCTGCTGCGTCGACTAGAGCCCATTTCTCCTGAGCACATGCTACCATAATAAGTGCTGACTGTGGAGTTGCTGTCCCGCCGAAAAATTGCCTGTTGTGTCTGTCTCTGAGCACTTGTCTGACCTGGAGTCAAGTTAAGTTGCAAGTCTATCAGCTGGGTCTGTGTTACAGTTGCACTACTCTTTGAGCCGTCCATCTTGAGATCGGTGAAATGCTTGGGCAGGTCACCTAGATGAATTCCTCTTCTCACACCTAGCAACATAAAGAAAATTCATCTGAAGGAGGCACAAAACAGAAATATTTATAATTTCCATATTAATCTTACTCTTGCTGTTGAATGTGACATTTTTTAGATGATAATTGTCTGAGAACACTGCATTCTCTACTTAGGCACACTGCTTATTTCAGTAAAGAATAACACTTAAATTTAAAACTTTATAGCCAGTACTTTTACTATGAGATTTTTGAGAATAATAATGTAGATAGGGAAGCCCAAGTATAGTAATCTCTAAAAAAGGACCCAGAAGACAGCCATATTTATTGTTGTTGCAGAAGATAGATATAAACTTTATTGGTCATGCATCATAACCTATACAGGATGAGTCAAAAGTATGTTTACAAACTTTGTGTGCGTGTTCCAGGATCAAAAATAAGAAAAAATGTTCCTATCAACATGGGGTCGCAAATGTTTCATTTTTGAAATAATAGCCAAAAATAAGTTTCAATGTATGCCTTTATTGCCAAGTATATGGACAGGGATGTTCCTTTATAACAGATGATCAAAGGTTGCTCCTCCATTCTCCACGCATGCCCAGGCACAATGTACACAAGCAAGATGTTTACACATTTGATAAAGAATGCATCTTGTGACAACACTGGCAATGAATGCATCACAAATTAGGTCAATAATGACATTCATGTTGGAGAAATGTTTCTACAAATTCCCTAGAAAGCCCCTACACAACAGACTTCTGCAGAACATAGTGATACAATCTCATATGTGCAGAAATCAAATTACATGAGCATGAAGTATGTACTGTGAAGTTTATAATACAGTACTACTCTCAATTAGTGTTGCTTCCATCCTCTTTCTGTGTACTCAAAGGTTTGGTATGACACTGCATTCTGGCAGTTTTGTCTGTATTTGCAGTCAGAGCCTGGAGAAGTATATTACCTGAAATATTTGGTAGTGGAGGTAGTGTTGCAATGACTTTTGTTTGAAGCCTCTTGATCCTCTGTGGGGTGTGCTCTGTTGGTGGTGCTAAGTGGTCTGATCCTCCACCCACAACAGCCCTCACAGAAAGATGGAGATCTGGCAGCTGTGGAGAAAACACATAATTTATCCTACTATAAAATTGCAAATTTTAATTCAACTAAAAGATACTGAACCATAGACATCTCTGTTGACTAACATATCTTTCCAAATTGTGTTACCACCTCATAACAAACTGATATTTGGGGAAATTTTATGGACTTATTTTGCACTGATCTTATAAAGGGTCATACTACAATGAGAAAGGCTGGAAAAAAGAAAATGTAACAAAAAGCTGAGAAGTCGCTTCAGGTTAGCACTTTTAACACTTTGAACTTTGACCTTAAGAACTTGTGTCACAAAATCGTTTTCACCCAGCTTGTAGCTAATCACATTATTTACTAAGCTGTAGTGGTCAAACACTAACAAATTAGATTGTTACGGGGTTCCATCTGAACTTAAATATGTAGAATTTGAGGAATACCAGACTGCACGACACAACAACCCAGAAGACAGCAATCTTGAATACCTGTACACTGTATCTCATACCCACACACTATAAAATATCAAAAGAATTCATACACAACACTGAGAAATGACAAGTGAATAATTCATACTTCACACAAAAATTTAGAAAAATAAGATTTAAGATGAGGCACAGTAAAAGTTCTTTCTGCATAAAAGAGATATGGACACATTTAATAAAATCTATAAGGACTCTCTTATACTTAGCACCATATACATTCTTATCATCTGCTACTTAGCTAGAGGAAATTTGTCATCAAAGTAGTTCCTTTTCATAGACTCAGAATATAATTGAAAAGTAGCAAACAATTCCCCTAAATTTTAGCAGATTTAGGGAATATGGTAACCATAGTGGTAGTCTTGGGTAATGGGCATCATATACAATACCTTAAGTTCTTCACCCTCATCTACCCATTCTTCTCCTGCCTCCACAGCTGCTAGAGCATGATTGGTTGTGCTGACATTGGAGTCACTGACTGGCTCATCCAAACCATTGTTAGCATGCTGAGTGACACTGAGAGGACTGCCTTGTTGAGCAGGTGAACTGGCCTCCTGAGAATTGAGTATATTCATTAGATGAACTGTCACTGATGACAATTTTGCACTTTGTTGTCATAAGGTAATGCAGATTCCACAGTAACCCCTTCAAGTTTGCATTCCTCAATCTTGATACAACATTCAGATCTTTACTTTGAGGCTGTATAAGCCTATTTAAATGAAACCATAGAACATATTTGAAAATACATACACTGATATGGTGTCACATGAGAATAAGCATGAAGTTCCTGTGTTCATATTTTTATCGTAGATAGAATTTTAAATTAAATTATTTACTTGCCAAAGTTATAGGTTATGTTGGAATGGTTTCAATAATATTTATGAAGATTAAGATTGAGAATTGCCAACGTATACTGCACATCTGAAATTATTCTTTTACTAAAACCATCATACATTAATGATCTGGAGACAAAATCTTCATGTGCAATAACTACATCCTATTGGAAACAACCAGTAGCAAGGGAAATTGAAGGTAAGTTTTGTAAAGGCGGTGATGAAGGTTACTGTACATCACATAAACCATCTTCACTAATATTGAAAAGTTTGTATTAAAATGTAGGTGGTTTTATCTTTAGAAAGATATATGCACAGGGACTTTATGCTCGTGGTGTATAAATGGCACCATATGGAGAACTTTCCATCATTTCTCTTTAGTTTAGTAGTCACAAACAAAGAAGCATAACAGATGCTTTCTCTATGTGCAATAGAAATGCAAAGTGCAACAAGTAAAACATGACGTATGAAATTGTTCATAACATAGAATCATGGTATTACGTTTCATTTATAGTCTTTTTGTTCCCTTCTCCTCCTGCCATTCATGACATACAACTGTGCTTATATTATATGCAAGCAATTATAATGTGTTTGCATTGAGACAAATGAAATCTGCCTGGACTTTGAGATATTTATATTTTTCTAATAAAGTACAGGATATAGCTGATCACCTCGGACTTGACGCTTGGACTAGACAAACTGGCGGTCTTGCCACTCATCATCTCCTCACTGTGAGGACTGCTGTCCAGTAAGCCACCAGTTCCACTAGAGCCATCCTCAGTCCCATCACCTGGACCCTTGTGCTTTTTGTTGGCATAAAACTCTGGGCCATGCACAGTTTTTACATGCTTCCTGAGAGAGCTGGGGTCTGTGTACCTCTTTGTGCAACCAGGAGCTTTGCATACATATGGTTTCTGTGAGAAAGAAACAATGAGATACAAAATGACAATCCCAATCCCAAGTGTCCCACAGAAGGAGACAATCTGCAGAAGAATACATGTCATTCTCATATTCATGCATTCTGAATATTAGTCCTAATTAATAACCAAAATAAATATAGCCAATTTTAATATATAAAACAGTTGTGACATACAGTGAATACAAAATGGTGCCACCTGAAGATGATCCTTTGTAGACCAAAACATATAGTGAATGTAGTGAAGGAATAGATATGGAATAAAATAGGGATAGCTGTGTAGATAGATGTTCCTGTGTTTCTGGTTAAACACAAGTCAACTCCAAAAACTAGGCCTATCTTCTTAGGAAAACCTCTTATATTTGTCAGATTAGAACAATGGTCCAACACTAGACACTAAAGCAATATTTTATCAGATTCTAAAATGAGTTAATAGTTCCCTGAAACACTATACACAATATCTCATAATTATCTTACATTCTTTGCACAATATGCACAAAGTAAATGCATAGAGGGCCAATAGTATTTGTCCATCTGTGTATCTCCCTGCATTTTACAACCTAAAACCATAGGATGAATTTTGATAAAATTTTGGTATGGACATTTTACCACTGAAGACCAAAAGAACTCATATATTACAATTTCCTATAATCTGTAATAACACGATGGTCACACAAATTGTTGTTGTAAGTGTATCACTACTGCCACTTAATTTTGGACCCTGAAACAGTGTATAAATAGATCACTGAAAAATCTTCAACACTGGGATTAATGGTGTTGAACCTTTGGGTTCTGCTACCATAGTATTAGTTATCTGCATTGTCCAATATATCATTGCCGTGTTGCAACTTGATGAGTGAAAATCAAAGTGAGGATACAAAAAATAATGAGAAATATACAAGGGATGAGTTGACGAATTGAATCTAGAGTGAGAATTCTGTGGTGTAAGGAATCTATAAAATAAATATACAGACTGCTGATGTGATATATTTTAGAGTTCCACTCTTCATTTCTTCAACAGAAAGACAGTGGAAATGAAACGTAGTTCAATTACATATCATGTTCTAGGAACTTACCTTCTTTATTTTTCATGGAAGACGATCCCATTTACAGCTTGGAAACAGAAGATGAACAAATATCAGAAGTAAAGTTTTAGAGTAAGAAAAGGGAAAATTTATCTTTATTGTTACTCTATTTTTTTTTCACTGTACACAGTAACAATGGAGCATGTACCTCATTTGAGTGGGTGCGATTTTGATGTTTTGCACGATCTGATGCATTGCTGAAAGCCTTACTACAGCCAGGGTATTCACACATGTATGGTTTCTCTCCAGTGTGGGATCGCAGATGTGTTTTGAGATTCTCTAGCCTTGAGTAAGCCTTGTAGCACCCTTCAAACTGAAACACATATTACGCAAGTGCATAATTTACTATACTTACACAATATACAGAAAGGGATATTAGTCATTAGAGACTCTCTTCATGGGAAGTAGACCACCAAAAGAAAAATATTTTGAGTTTTCAGTTGTCAGTCAGGACTCAGAAATATACCTAAACCTGATTTATTTCCTCCCAGTCTCTTGCATCATCCCTCTGACACAATATAAATAAATACATAAAATATTATAACAAAAACATATGATGTTTATGTGGATGTTCTGAACTCAAGTAATAAATAGGAATGATTCAATATTTGTTAATTAAAATAATATATGCCTGTAAATTTGAAAGGATGTTAAAACAGAACAATAAAAATATTATCTAAGTTGTTTTTATGGTATAATTATGCTTATTATTATGTACTACATAATTGTGACCATCTTATTTTCCTAGTTTATGCACAATTCAGAATGAAGATCCTACAAACTGAAAATTAAAACAAAATTATAATCAGAACATTTCAGAATATTAAAGAAATATACATCAAAGTACACCACCTGGTTACTTAATGCTTCACTTATTACATGAGATCCAAAACCATTAGTAGTGATGTATCTGGAGGCCAAGGCACAGATTAAAGTTTGGGCCACCCTACATGATTGCCTCGAATCCCCATACCCTCACACCTCCTCATCCCATCACTCTGGAATCCATATTTGTAGCCATGTAGGACAGGCAAGCACTTCCACATGAGCACATTATAGTTCCCAGACAAGGTAACACCTGTCTGCATTGTTAAAACTACATGAAAGTATTTCAAATTTCTTCACTGCTATTACCAACTGACATAACCTCTCTAACTTACTGTACACTTATGAGGCTTCTCCCCAGTATGGCGCCGCATGTGCACCACAAGCATGTACTGAGCTTTAAATGGCTTCTCATCTCGTGAACAATCCTCCCACCGGCAAACGAATGACTTTTTGTTTGCGTGAATGTGGTCATTGTTGATGTGCTGTGGAAAGACGAGATAAAACAAATGTAACTGTACATTCCATAAATACATTTTTTCTGTGTAAGAAAAAATTTACTGTACTTTATTAAGCTCTGCCCCATGATGACATATATGGAATAAAGGTCCAACTGTGCACTTTTAACCTCAGCCACTTTAACTCTGGTTGAAGCGCTAGTGGTAGACAATGGATATAAGGCTGGAGAACCCGAGAACTGATTTGGACATGACAGTGAAGAGAAAACTTGTATCCCTTCCTTGCCAGAAAATCAAAAACCATTCATTCAGCCTGTTGCCAATCACTATACTGACTGACTTGTCCCAATTAAAATTAATCTTCTTAGAAAATACTAAAATGACATTAGTAATGTAAAACGAATGATTACCTTTACGAGATCATCCTGTGTAGGAAATTCAAGACCACATTCACGCCAATGGCAGTTTGTTTCGATGAAATCTCCAGGTTCATCTTTGAGGGTCTCTCCAGAATCAGCACCACCTGGAGAGCATTTACTGCTACTGCAGTCAGAACCAAGTCCTCCAATCACAGGTCCTGCAACTGTATGTTCAAAATATAAATATATACAGTTAGCAGTATAGTCCAGAACTCTATGTAAGGAATATCTTCTCTTTTCATTTGTCTGTCGATGCTGGCTTTCTGAATAAGTATGTAAAAATAAATGAGTGTGTCGGATACCACAATATCAGACATTTGAATACATATAGCAGCTAAGAACCTTTTCTTTTTGAAGATTTTCTTTTTAAAATAGCTGTACTGAAGTAGTAAAATTTCTTATTCTTTACCTTTAACATATTCTTACTTAATCCTTGCACCTACACGCATTAGAATGCATTAGATTAACCTTATACACACATATTTAATGAACTTCACAAATTTGAGAAGACTTTTTAAAATTTGAGCTCAATATATACTATTCCCAAACAATACCAGTCAATCAGTGCTACCGCATTATTTGAAAACCTCCACAAGTGTATTTGCTCTCATAGAAGGATGGGTGGCATCACTGACAGCAAACATATCATAACATGAAAATATCTATATAGTCGAGACAGGTTAGCAAAGTATCACCTGCCAACAGGATAACCCACTACAAAATGGAAACATCAATGAATAAAATGAAAGAAAAAAGATGTGAACGTACATTAACGCCCACATATCGTGAATATCGGCGCATGAACTACGGACAGTTTACCTGCACTTGTGGGATTAACATTAGCAGCAACAGGTTCCCTCTTTATCCTTGCTTTCTTCTGGTTCAGAGGTCCCCCACCTGCAGCACTTGTGTCTGCCTCCACCACGCTACTAGAGACAGAGGAATCCAGCTTCTTGCACGCGTCTCCCGACAACCGCTGCCACATACAGTAATGTCATGGTTTAGCCTTCATTACAGATAATTATAAATTTACGTAAACTGAGACTGCCTCTACAAAAATAACAAGAATGGAGACAATGATTTTAAGACAGCGATAAATTGATAACTGGTTATAAAATACCATAAAATATAAATATGCATACTTTAGTACATATAGAAAATGTCCATCAGACTTAACTCAAGGCCTAATACTTGATATGAAAAACAAATTTCTTGAATATTTCAGCATTTTCTTTTTACTCTTTTGTTTGTAGATTTGCCTTCTCACATTTTGTGTGTGTGTGTGTGTGTGTGTGTGTGTGTGTGTATCACTGTTTACAAAGAAATCTTTTTTGTTTTATTAGTTCCATTGACAATGTTTCGAGCATGTGCATTACCTTGTAGAAACATCGTTGAAAGTAACCCATGAATAGAAATAATATATAAAAGTACATAAATTAAGAATTCAGTGCTAAAGTGTCACTGATTTGCATTTCCATTATTTGGGCAAATGATTTAAGATACAAAAGATAACAAAGGTATTATGTAACTGAAAATAAATTCTTAGATCCTAGAGGTGTTTGGCTGTCAATATCAACCTAACTAAATATTGATTTCAAACAAATTTAGGATTGTAGGCACTCATTTAAATCAGTTTTGTTAAGCATATACAGTTTTCTCATTCCAAACAGGGTTATACAAAGTTTATTTTTTAAAGCAGGTGTAAGTGAGGTTTCTCTTACCAAACTAAATAAATATTTGTAATTGTTTAACAGCAAACAATATCAACTGAAGATTTCTGTCTTCTGGGTTGTTGCACTGTGTAGTATGGTAGATGTTTACCAACGCGCCCTGATGACGGAAGCAGTATGACCTCTGAAACGTTGGTTAACATCGACCAGACTACACAGTGCAACAAACCAGAAGACAGAAATCTTCATACTCATCGCCCTGATGACGGAGGCAGTATGACCTCAGAAACGTTGGTAAACATCGACCAGACTACACAGCACAACAACCCAGAAGACAGAAATCTTCATACTAAGAATCGCCCTGATGATGGAGGCAGTATGACCTGAGAAACGTTGGTAAACATCTACCATACTACACGGCGCAACAACCCAGAAGACAGGAATCTTCATACTCACTGTTGTGAAAATCTCAAATCATAAATATTAACTGATGTTGTAAGTTAGATCACAACAACGATTCAACTTATAAGTCACCTCTGTTTTTGATATGGAATGTCCTGTGGAAGGCTGCAACGGATGATGAGGTAGAGAGAAGAGCCCTCCTGGAGCCTGTGTTTGTGCTTGAGGATGAGGTGGCAGTGGAGGCAGCAGGCTCCCTGCTGCTGTTCTCAGGAGATGTGCTTGAAGCTGCTGCAGATGGGGTGCCATGCCTGGGTGCATCCCCAGCGCTGGACTGATTGCCCCTAAAAACCAAAATACATTTTAATTTCTCTTTTACTAGTGTAACTTCTCAAATATGCAATAGCAAGAAACAACGATAAAGCTCAATTTTTAACATCGGGATGCTTTTTAAACTGACGCAATTAATTCAGTCTGCAAATCATATTCACCCTTATAGAAATTTAAAAAAAAACATCTAGAAATTACTGATTAAATGTTGATGGAATTGTTTAAAACATGAATATCTATCAAATAACTATTATATACTTCCTTCAGAGGAACACTTTTCACCCATTGCACTCCAAATCAACTACTGTTGTTAGCACAATTAGAACAATTTGTATATTGTTCTTGTGATCTTCTAACACGAGATTCTGTTTATAAATCAATGTCAGTGTGGCATAATGGTAACTTATTAATGTTGTGTACTTGTTATTATTAAAGCACCTTGTAGATCATCTTTACATCTTCACGAATTACCTGCCGAAAGATGACCGTAAGAACCGCTGGCACTGGAGCTTCGAGATCCGTTTACTATCGACACCAGAGAGTTCGGAGAGAAGCGGATCATCGAGTTGATGTCGAATGAGTCCGAATATGGCGACGACGACAGAGCCCTTTTCCGGCTCTGCCTCAAGCTGCTGGGTCGAGGACTTGTCAGCCGGGAACTCGCTGAAAACAGAAAGATCGGCTGGGTTTGACAGAAGTCTTACGAAATTATGACAACTGTAAGGTTAAAGCGGAAACGTACTGAACATTCTCTTGGAAGGACTTAAGATTACAACAAAAACTTTAGTCGCATCAAAATTCGGTCTGAGGGCTACGAAAAGTAAATTTTCTGAAACACCGTTATCAGCGAATACAGGTGCTCATACGCTTAAAAGATAAAAGACTGTAATAAAATGTATGCGTGTATGTTGTTTTATATGGGGGTGTAACTTGGTCTCTCGTCCTAAGGGAAAACTTCAGAATCAACGATGTTTTGAGAACATGTTTGTGAACACAAGGTTATGAAGGATATTAATGCTCTTATGACATATAAATGAAAATAGTCAAATTTATGGAGTCAATCACAATTAGGTCCGAAATTGAAGAAATGAGAAGTCTGAAATTAACAAAGCTGCGGATATGATACGAAGCACATTATATTGGAGCACGCTTCAATTTTGTTTTTCCAATTTACATTTTTAATGCTTAATCACGCTGCAGCTGGTTCATTTCAAAATTTATAAAGTTTTTTAACTAGACATTTAATTGTAGCGCATCCTCGATTTATTCGTTTATTCGCCATCATTTTAACAGAGATGTGCAAACATAACAAATGTCTCAGTATAAAGACTTTCTGCAAATTCTTTTTTCTAACAGCGTGACTATTAACTGCTAAAAGTCGTTGAAAATCTTTTACGTTCCCCAATGCTTGGCCATGCGTTTCATTAAGCATAAAACTCTCGTCGATACACTCAGTGATAATGGGATACAATCACTGAAGCTGATGGATGCACAGATGAAGGACATGTTATATTGATGTTGTACACACCAACATACGAGGCGGACTCGGGCTCAAGTCCCCCTGGGACTTGTTCCTGTCTCATGTCTTCAGTAAATACATTTATATGTTCTTAAGCATATGCGTTGCAACTTCATTTACATTTTGCAATTTTCATTTACGTGATCAGTAGCTTGCGTACTACACATCTTTATTTATATTAAGGAATTAGCAAATAAGTTATGCTCATTGCAAAATCAACAGCATTATTCTTGCCTGCGTATGTTAAAAATGATTAATGCGTGTTTCTGCAAAACTTACAAGTACCTAAGAGTGCTTCTAACAGCTTCAGGCACTGAAGGTGAAGCCAAGCTTTAAAACGTGACGTGTTTGGCTATCGCGTCTACCAACTGATAAAACACGACGTCAAATTTGTACATGCCTTTATTAAAACTCGGTGTTAAAACTTAATTTAGGTGTCGATTAATTATAAAAGCAAACTGACTGTAAAACCTAAACAAACAGTTACTCGTTAATGTGTCCCATAACAAGAAACGTCCCAGATACTGGTACTTCAACGACTTTTTATGTCGTGAAGTGTTTCCGGCAAAAGTTACAGTCACTTAAGTAATGATTATAAGATATATAAAAGGTCGGGTACTGATAAAATTATGAATGGTAGAATGTATTAATATTATTATATTCATTCCAACTAATTTCAGTAATTTTCAAGAAATCTCTCTTATTAAACTAAATCTGAAGGTTTGTGACGATGGTTTGTTTCTAAAACAACGAACTTTCTGGACATCATCCATCGTCTTGATTTTCTGTTGAAACACGACGTTTCGGAGACTAGAATCTCTGTCCTCGGGTATAGCCCTACTCCATTGGGCCCAATCGATAAATCTAGTCCCTATCTCAGGACCTTATTAGCCTTACACAACCCCAGTCGATTTCCGGTTATTTTATAGATATTTCATGAAATAGACTGATCGATACTTACCGTCTATAGAGAAAGGAAACTCTGAACTGCCGATTGTAGAAGCCGGAGGCTGCAGTTCAGTAAGGGCACGTGAACCCAAATAGTCCGGTGGGAGGCCCAAACCTGTGCACAGATATATGAGTCATTATAAAATTCTAGTTATACACTACAAACGCGGTTTATAGCAAAATATTACTTTTATGGCATAAGCGCACAAACTTAATTTGAAATTACGTTAATCTTTTCGACTGCCATCGGGCGTTGCGAGATTCCACATCGAAACGAATGGAGGTACTTTCGTTTCTATTTCATAGATGGCATGATATATCCTGTCTGATGCAATTAGATCTTAGATAAGGCGGTATATATCATAGCGGCGGTTACGGATTTAATTGACAATTTATAACAAATTATTTTGCATAGTGGATTCATTAAAGCCTGTATGTCTTGGTGCATCGTGGCGAGTATTAATTAAGAAGATGGGTGTATTCTGGGTTGTAGCGCCGTGTAGTCTGGTAGAAGTTTACCAACGTTTCAGAGGTCCATCGCTCTGATGATGGAGGCAGCAAGGATCTCTGAAACGTCGGTAAACTTCTACCACGGCGCTACATCCCAGAAGACATTTTCGAATTTCACATTTTACGACTAACCTTAAACAAACTGTGGTGGTGTTAGCATAACATGGTAGCAATAATTTTTCAATCGTCAAACAAGGTAGTAATTTCAGGGTTTATATTAAAAAATTCTGATCACAGATCCTTTAGGAGAGATGCTACTTAGGAGAATACAATTAAAATGGATCTGAAGGGACCATTAAGTGTATGGAAATGGATTGGATGCAGCTGGCTCAGGATATGGTTCAGTGGCGTTCTGTTCTGAACATTGCAATGAAATTTCTGGCAGAGATTCGGAAAAAAGTAGCGAAATTTATTGACCAGCTGAGCGACTGTCACTTTCTCAAGGAGGCCTACCGTGTTGTTAGTTGGAGTTTTATATCATAAAATCACAGACTGCCGGGTTATACATCTGTTCTCTCCACATGATAAATGGTAGATGTACATTTTATTATGACGTCTCTTATCTTCGCACTTGTCGTAATCATTGACACCACATCATTCTAGCAGCTGAACGAAATGATGTGAAGATAAAATCGTACAGAACGTCTTGGAAATCTGTTTGCAGAGTCTCAACTCTGAATAAGGCTATATAATATGAAAGCATCCAGGTTCTTCAGCGTTATAAGAATGTTATAAGTGATATGTGGCAGCAGAACCTAATTTCCATTTTCATGCTTGGATTATGCTGTTTTTGTTGTATGGCCATCACAGAATTAAGCAATGACATTTACTTCTCACTTGCATATATCCCCTCTTTCGGCCAGCACACCCTCGTCGTTTACTTTGAAACGGTGATGTGTTTAATCGGCGCTGAAGATAGCTGTCATTAGTTCTGATTACACCACAGAAACCCCCCCCCCCTCACTCACGATCTTCGTTTGTCTACAAAACCAGGATCCCATGCTCTATGGACCTCCCCTTTCCCCACTTTTCCTTCCTAAACAACGACAACACAGAATAAAGAAACATAGTCATGGAGGTTGCAGCAGTAAGGAAAATCTGTTTTATTTTCAAGAATTATTAAAGCCAGTCTTGCTGCTCTGCATTAAGAGAAACATTACAAATGCATAAGCTTTATTTACACAGTCGTCTCTTTGTTCCGTCGGTAAGTTAATGACAGAACGATCTAAGTCCGATTATTGGCAGAGTCAAGAAAACCCTATTTTGTCTTTTCTTTCATTTCGGTTTTGGTGCCCATCCATTCTTATGTAAGACAGGTAACAGTACTACAATTTATTGCAGCATTACATTTGCGAATTGGATTGGAAGTACATTTACAACATTCATTTTTCAACTAAATTAAATATGAAAACGTCTTCCCTGACATGCGTACCAACACAAAACCGACTGCCTGACATCAGACTTAAGACTTAACACCAAACGCAGACTCCGCCAGAACCTACCATATCCTCGTTTGCATTTCATGATACCACAGTCGCCACCGTCAGAACTTAATTTCAATTTCTCCGCAGAACAAATTATAATAGGAGTTGATAAAATATAAAAAATTATCCGTGAAATTTATACATGGCAACTAAGACATTATCTTATTTCTCCGTAATGGTATTAATTGTGTCGTAAAATGTAATTTTTGGTTGACAGAAAAAAGTATCGACAACGTAAGAGATCTTAAGCTATGGATAGTCCTTGGTTTCGAAAGTTCATTCGTTAGAAACGTCAGGACTTTTTATCCGATACATATTCATAAATACCTTTTCGTTTTTAATACGCATGCTTAATACAATTTTAACAAAATAGAAACATATTCTTTCTCCGTTGATTTCAAATTCACAATCACAGTCACTCTATATCCACCATGCATACAAAAAAACTGAAGGCTCTACATAAACTGCAAAGAAACTGTTAATTTGTGACACTCCATCGCTTCCTCCATGGAGATGATTAAAGGAAAGGAATAATAAAAATAAAATAAAAATTCCCAACTGCTTCACTAGCGAAGTTAAGTCCCTAACCCAACGCAGCAACCAACCAACATTCCTACAGCCAAAACGTGCAACGTCACGGAAACACAGACAGGGGCTTTGCTTGTCGAAACTCAGCCGACCCTGGACCAGCAATCAGATGAATCAGAGAGAGAGAGAGAGAGAGAGAGAGAGAGAGAGAGAGAGAGAGAGAGAGAGAGAGAGAGAGAGAGAGAGAGAGAGAGAGAGAGAGAGAGAGAGAGAGAGAGAGAGAGAGAGAGAGAGAGAGAGAGAGAGAGAGAAGGAGGGGGTGGGGGCTTTTTCTACGCTCGTTGCATAGCAACCATCTCAAGACATTTTAATTATTATTTTGGTTTCCAAAGGGCGACTATGGAGGCGGGTGAATTACGAAAGAAGAAGAAGAACGAGGTTGAATAAAAAGAAAGAGTAAAGGTAGATCGAAGGAAAGGGGAAATTTTAAAACAAACCGTTCATTATCTAGACAGTGTGTTGATGAGCAGCGCAGATAAAGTCATTTTCTACATCACTGACTTACTACTCAGTCTACAAACATCATACTCGAAGCTCCAGGCAGCAATTACGAAGGTTAGACAAACAAAACATCATCTTGAGTGGAGTCTCATTAACTTCTCTCTCTCTTTTTGTCTGCATGATTGAGTTGCTGTAACAAATAAGCGAGATTTAAATGAGAATTTCTGTCAAACCATTGAGTGAGGTTATGTTTTCATTTGGTATTCCGAAACTGGGGGTGAAAGAACCATAGTTGTTTACTATCATATCACGTTCCTTAAATTTATAAACAAATATATTTAAGTGTGTAAGGAGAGGATTATAAGTGAATATTAAACACTCCCTCGTAGATTAATTTACAGTTGCACCCTTTGAAAATTTCGAAAATCGGGACTATTTTAATTGTTTGATTGTGAGGGCAAGTGAGACTTGATATTTACAAACCAATTCAACTGTCGTACGAGTGTGATGTAGGAGGTAGAAGATACCTAAGCTTTTGTCATGAATGCGTTCTTAGACGAGTGTGTGTGTGCGTGGCTGCATGTAAGCCAATATGATTCAGTTTCTGGGCAGTTACATGTCGCAAACAAAGGCTTATTGCTCAAGTTATGGGTCCAGTACAGAGAGTGTGGGTTACTATAGTTCATGCAGACTTCTTATTTGAAGTATTTGCCATGTATAACGGAGCACGTGACAAATATCTATGCAATATATCCGACCTATGTTGATTTAGGGAGATGAAGGCGATATTTCTACAGATCATGTTGATACCTCAGTATCTGCTACTCGCCTGAAAATAAACAGGGTTGCAAACAAAGTAAGCTGTACTAATTTACAAAAGATCACCTAGGAGACCGGCTGACCCGGTTTTATTCAGTCCCTCCACACAAATGCCGGGATAACGACTTAAAATGAGCCACGACTGATTCTTCTCATCCTTTCTAATTAATGCATTCTATTGTTTGATGTGGTATATTCCGAGCTACTGAGAGAGTCGCTGAATAAACCCAAAGTATATACAATAATTAGTTTTTTGAAGATCAAAAAAGAGAACAACAGAAATTGACAGACATGTATGAAAATCGGCAAAACGACTAATAAATGGTAGAAATTGATTATATATTTTAGTCTGCGACCACAAAGTCACCATGCGTCTCCTTCTGACGTTCCAGGCCAACTTT